CGATAGACGGGTGAGTCCCGGCGAGCCCCCCGCAGACCCCAGCCCTCCAGCTCACCCCACGCCCGCTGCGCTGCACCCGTCCAGGCCTCGCCGGCGGGTCTGCATTGCCGGGGCCGTGCCGGGAGGTGGCATCCCTGTGCCACGACCTGGAGCCATGCCCGAAGCTCAGCACCTTCTCCAGGTTCTCCTGCACCGTCTTCGCCTTCGGGCAGACCGGCTCGGGGAAGACCTACACCCTGATGGGACCCCTCGCCCAGGTACAACGCCGTCCCCCCACCTGACCTGATCCTGACGGTGGGATGGGCTCTTCTCACCCAGTCGTGGGCACTGGGGTGGTGGGAGGAGGTGGGTGCCAAGGCAATGTGACTGCTCACCCTCCCGGTGTCTCCGCAGAGTGAGACCCGGCCGGCAGCTCCGGGGCTGCTGGGGCTGATGCAGAGGTCCTTCGCCTGCCTCCTGGAGCAGAGCCGGAGCCGCAGCTCTGACCTGGCTCTCAGTGCCTCCTACCTGGAGATCTACAACGAGCAGGTAAGCACCCATCTGGCCGCCCAGCCAGGCCCTGCTGGCACCCCGTGCCTCAGCTCCCCCGCTGCCTCCCCTCTGCTGTACTCCCCAGGTCCGGGACCTGCTAAGCCCGGGGCCGCCGTGTGCCCTGCCCCTGCGGTGGAGCAAAACCCGTGGCTTCTACGTGGAGAACCAGCTCAGCGTGGACTTCGAGAGCCTGGAGGCCATCGCTGACCTGCTCCTGCAAGGTGCTGAGCCGTGGGCGCAGGGCTGGGGCTATGCAGGGGCATGTTCAGGGGGGTGCCGGACCCAGTGTGGGGGTTCTCAGCCCCCCCCGCAGAGCTGTCCCCAGGACTCGTGGGGCTCCGATGGCAGCCAAGAGGGGCAGCTCCCCATCCTGCCGCAGAGCCCAGGCAGGCTTGCGTCTGGCAGGGGGTGGGCAGTGGGTGCTGTGCCAGGGTGTGGGGCGTTGTGCCCCCCCTGCAGCTCTCAATCCCGCCCCCCC